AGCAGTGAAAATTTATGCTTATTGCTAGTTACTCAGAGAAATTTCTGAGATCTGCTAACTTGTAATCTCTCTTTCTGCAGATAAACATGACCCATCTGATAAAACACCTGTCGTTTGGTAAAGATTACCCCGGTCTTATTAACCCTCTGGATGAGACTGATGTCACAGCACCACTTGGTGAGTGATACAAGTTTTTGTTTTTAATATCAATAGTGCTGCTGACGTCAAAGCAGGAGCAGCCTGGCACTTGCTCTCAAACGATTCAGGGTTTACTTCTCGGATTAATGTTTCCAAGTTGGACTAACCTGTCAAACAACTGTTCAGTGACAAAGGTCATGTTTAAAATAGAAGGGTGGCTGGTAACCAAAAGAAACCAGCATTGATAAGAAAAAGTATTTCCCTGTTGTGTCACTGAACTAAATATAATTACCTGTGTTACCAATTGTTTTTTGTTTTTTTAAAGGCATCAAAAAGTAAATCACATGCCCCCTGAAAACCATTTCATGAATTTGAACTTTTATTGACAAAACTAGACTGTTGGCTGAGAACATGGCAGCACTGAATGGACAGAAAGCTGTGACTGGAAGTAGTTGAAGAGTCCCATGGTTGAATATTTGTATATAGGTCTTTCCTCTTGTCTTCAGCAGCGAATACCCATACCAATGGCCATAAAAGTGCCAAACGTCCCTCCACTCTGCATCATGGTCTTTCCTACTCCTCCCATGAGTTCCCGGCCACGCATGCCGATCCTGGAGAGAGAAATAACAGTCTTACTTTTTATTCACGTGACCTAGAGTGAGACACTCCATATTTAGCCTCGAGATTGATACATGTTAAAGCTTCCATTTCTTCATCTAGTTGAAGCAAGCAACATTTACACCAAATTTAAAAATTCCATATGTGAGCATAAAACACATTTTTAATAAGATTGTTTTCAATTATTGTAGCAAAACATCTTGACGCACAAAACACACTGTCTGTATTTACCACTTAGAGCAGCACAATACTGTTACATCTTATATAAACAGTTTGTTCCCACACCAAATTCAAACCTACCTGAGACAGGAGAAAGTACCAAACATGGCACCAGCAGCCATTCCTACTGCAAAACCCATCATGAAGCCCATTTTGACCCGATCAAAGCAACTTGGCTGGGTCTGGCCATATGGACCTACAGCCACCGGCATCTACAGAGGATTGCAACAAAAAGGTTAAAGGTTAAAGACCAGCTGGATAAATTATCATCTTATGTATTTGTTCTTATTCAAAAATTGTAAAACAGACCCTCTGGAATCCTTAATTCAATCTGTGAAAAGTGGCTTGTGGTAGGTCTACAAATGATGACCTGTGAGATTATAATATCTGCTAATTTCATCAATATTAGCTCTTTTATCTGCAAAAACAGTGCCAACAGAAACACTCCAGATTACAAAGCCATATAAGTAAATGCACTACAATTACTAAAACTGATAGCATATCATTTTTGTTGACCATTTGATTAGATTAACCAATGCAAGTTCTAGATTGCAACTTATGATTTACCATTTCTGAAACTCAGGGCTGATTCTAGTATTCAAATGATTTGTCTAATAAAGCTATTCATTCCCCCTTTTTGCCAGGAGAAAAAGCACTTCAGTACCCAAATGCATGAACTGTTCAAGATGTTTTTCCTCATGTTAGCCATAAAAATGTAAACAACATGAAATAAATCTCAGCCAGCGCTGTCAGTAAACGTAATCTTCTTGGCAATATCAGCCAACAATATTATCCCCATATTAGAAAATTACATGTGTCGGGTTGTACTCTTCTGAAGAATATTATTCTTTAACTGGCACAACCAGGGCTTTGAACTTTACTTATGAATTCACGTGTCAGAGGCTTCAATGCCTCCGATTTATGTCAAAATAGAAAGAAAACTAGTGCTAGAAGAGCAAGATAACAAATAAAAATAGTGCAGTGTATAATAACAGATTGTATTTATGCACAAGAATGATAACAAAAATAACTAAAAATGGTGTTAAAAAAAGAGTAAAGATTGAGATTGTATAAGTAGTGCAAACTGCATTAATATAAATCTAAGAATAGCTGCAAGGATGTAGGTGAGCAGCTGTCAGGGGTAAATGTTCAGGTTGAAGCTTGTAAACAATCTCAGATCACTGCAGGGTCGTCATTACAGCTCAAAGTGCGGCAAGAACCTTGTTGAGTT